GATATAATGTGCAACCCAACAGCTATTAATGTGCGAAACTTCTAACACAATGGTGCACGGTGTTGGTCGGTATTGTGTATATTGATTCGAACAACTTTTGTCGCAACATAAATTTGGTATTGTGCATATTGATTCGAACAAACTTTTGTCCTAAAATAAATTGAAACCGAACTGAATTATTTGGTTTACTCGGTCGATCAACTGGATTATCTTAAATAATTGACACAATTTATTATTTAGATTAAAATTATATTTAGTATGTTACCATGTGTATCTATTATTTTTATATTATTTTTTATTGAAAAATATAATGCACGAAATACCGGTATCGATAAAGTGCAAGAACCAAACTCTATAAAGTGCAAGCACGCGTACAGAGATGTGCATCTATTATAACATTATTGTGCAATCGTATTGCCGACACGTTTAATAAATATGTCCCAAACATGTCACGTTTAATTATTTGTCTCGAGTCATACTAAAATCGAACTAAAATATTCGGGATATGTGTTCCGTTAACCGAAATAAATTAAACAATCGAAATGAAATATTATTTATATCATAAAATATTATTTAGTGTTTTATTATTTTTATTTATTATTTTGTTTTACTTATTTGGTTGAAAGATATCTAATATATATATATATATTATATATATAATATAAAAAATTAGCTTCTTATATATTTTGGCTCAATTCTCTTTCCTTGGACGATTGGTTGCGATACAATCTATCCAGGCATAGTTTTCTTGTTGAAGATAATATTCCTTGGCCGCTAGCGCGAAGCAAAGCGAGAGGCATGGGTTGAACCCGATGCTGGGTCTAGAAAAGAGACCTCCGGTAAATAATCCTTAGCAATAACTCGAGATTTAATCCCCTAGAGATAAGAAGTCTTTCGTCTCTAACTTCAATGAATTACCTCTCACAAACCGGTGTCCTTAGAATCAGACGATAGGACGGAGCCGAATAGACCGTTGAAATCTTTCCAAGAAGCAGGGAGGGAAAGGTCTCGATTGCGTTAGTCAAAATCTTTGAACCTCCGCAAGAGGCGTAAGCAGTAGCTTCTAGGACGAAGCCGACCCGATACGATAGGCGGGGGACGCCACCTGCTCACTGAAACTTCCGGAGTCTTTGCTGAAGTGATTGGTAGAACGATTCTGTCTCAATGTCAGTATGTGGGAGGATCCGAACGAATTCTGCTTTCATTTCCCCTGTATGGAGCACTGAGTTACTTACGTTACGGTCTTGAACAGGTAGGCTGCACGGACAGCGGCTAAGAAGGCTCGTTAGACCTTATGCCAGACCAAGAATGAATGTGGTCGATTGCCACTACATTCGAGAACTTCTATCTTTTGTTTGTGGTTTATTAAGGGCTGGCACACCTCGGCCACTAACCTTGTTTCCAGTTCTCCACACGGATACCCATTCCCAGGTTTGACGGGTTGGGAGGACATAGGCCTCCAGTCCGGGTGAAGGACATGCGTAAACCACCGATTTCAACCATAATCGTTCTCACGTAGCGATCGTATCTTCATAGCAGTCCTACGGAAAGCTGGATCGATCAAATCCCGCCCCAACGAGAGCAGCGGATCAACTGACTAAGCTATTTCGGTAGCTGGTGGAGACTCATCGCTAACAATGAAATCCAAACCTAATGAGTTCTCCGACGGGTAGTTCGCATATGAGATCTTCTCCGGGCAGGAGCCATGAAAGTGGGGGCACTGGAGTAATCCGCTAATAGTATCGTCCTGAAAGTTCTATATGCAAAACGAACGAAAAGAAGGAGGCCAGGAGTCTCTTAACGCTTTTTTTTTTTCTGCTCATCGGAGTGAGTGCTTTGTGCCAGATTTGAATGAATGTCCAGGAACGGAGTCACTCGACCATAGGGAGAGGAACAAAAGATAAAAGGATGATTAGACCACCCTTTCCAATGGTCAGGTGACCAGATCGAAGAGCATACGAAAGAAAGAGAGAAGCGAACGGAGAGATCTAAAGTGAAACCAAATCACATAAGTCAGAAAAGATCCTTATCATAAGAAGCAGCGTTTTAACGACAATGCTGACATCTAATCGATACCTGAAATTTAAATATAAAAACAAATAATATAACCGACATATAAAAAGAAAAAAAAATAGCAATTTCAAACGCTACGGTGCAATCTATCGATCGTTAACGTGCATTCCGTATAAACTATTGTGCTATCACATGACATTTATATTTAATGTGATTAAATACAATATATTGTGCACCATTTGTTTTTTACAATTAGTACTCAATGTATTGAACTTTCTCAAAATTACATGGCACATGTATCAAATGGGAATTTAATAAAATTTATTAAATTGCAATCAAGTCCTCTAAGTTTATCTTATTGTAAAAAATAAAAGGCATAATCTCAAAATGTCATCTTCTACCCTACCACCACTATGTTCCGGCAGCCACTCCGGCTACCGACTTCCAACGTCTATGTATACTCCGACCGACGACGTCCGACGACTTTCAAGATTTTTTGTTCTTTTTTTTTTAAATGCCGCCACTGAAGATCTCCTGTGCAACGACGCCTAGGTGGTCGGGCAGACATGATTTCGGCGAGAGACGAGGCGGCGGTGAGGCGCGGGCGATGTGGGACGACGTGGGCGACGGGGAACGACGTGGGCAACAGAGGACGACGGGGACTATGCGGGCGAGGGAAGACATCGCGGTTGACGTGGATGACGCCGGTGATGGGGGACGGCAGGCGACGGGCTACGGGGGACACAGAGAGATTCTGCGCGGAGACTAGCTGGCGGCGGTGACGATACTCTGGCTTCTGTGTATGAATGAGACTTCGGGCGATGGCGGGATGCTCCGGCAGGCAGGATGTGAGCGACAGCGGCGGCGCTGGTGGCGTGGTGAAACAGTGGTAGCCGGAGTGGTAGTACTTGTGGGTGCCGGAAGTTGGAAGTCGCCGAGGCATGGGCCCGTTCGAGCAGTGTTGCATGTGTGTGTTTGCGTGTGTTTAGGTGTGTGTGTGTGTAATAGAGAGAGAGAGAGAGAGAG